CCAGTTTTAGTCATATCATCCTCTCATAGCTTTCCATTAATCTTCATGGTGAAACCATTACTTGATACAGTAAAAACTAGAAAGCTATATCCTCCTGGTTTTGAACCAAACAGTCCTGAAGAAATTATCCAATTTGCCAAAGCTCATTATTTTTATTATCTTCATGAAACTTTAAGGTTTAAAACAGTTCCTTCATCCATGTTTGACCCTACAGAAGAACATCCCGGGATCTTTGAATTATCCTGTGAAATTGGGTGGGATTTAGCTGAACCAACTCTTTGGGCCATATGGTGTAAAACTGTCCAAAATCCAATCCCAATTGCCCTAAGGACACAGTCAGCTTATGATATTCTGATAAATCCAGATAAGGTTGATTATTTATTCGGGACTTTATTAGAATGGTTTTCGCCTCTCACATGGTGGAGATGTGAGTTAAAAAAGGTCATCAATTTCCAAAGAAACCAAAAAGGAAAGACTAGAGAACAATGTGAGTCCTTAACCTCCATTGCTATCATCAGTCGTCCTTATTTTCAGAAACCTACTAGGCAACTTCGGTCCAAAAATGAAGCTTATATTTGGGGAACCTTTGAGACATATCCTTCAGATCAAAGTTACAGGACTCAGTTGGTTAACCATCTCAAGGAAACAAGGATCCATCAGAAGAGCCAAGATGAAGCTCGCTCATCACAAAGTCGACTGATCCCTTCTCAGACAAGCCATCAGGGAATCAAAGCTTTCATGAGCAGGACTAAATATTACGTTCCTGATGAACAGTTCCAGACAGCTAATGATCTAGGAGAAAATGACGAAGACCTCTACTATGCCGAATTGATGATGAACAGTTGTTCGGATTCAGACGCATCAGATCCGAATCTCTCTCCTAGTCACGAGCCCATCATTAAAGGAGGCTAATAATACTGTTTGCCACCAGTTGTGTAATAAGTGTGTACGTTAGTTTGTATTTTGTGTGAATCAGACCCATGTGGGTCCCTCACCAAAATTAATTTTTTACAACCATTATTTTGTTTTTTAGGAGTCATATAAATGAAAATTATTTTTTTTATCAATAATTAAATAATGACCAGTGTATTTAAAGTCGTTAATATTATTATTGATATTTATATAAAATTTTGATAAAGATTCATAAAATTGAGAAAAACTTAATTAATTTGATAACATATATAAAATAATGACTAATAAATAATAAATTTTAATGAATAATATTTCTTGATTAGTTATATAGTTTATGATTGATTTAGTGAAGTTATATTCTGTCACCATAAAATTGTCATTAAAGATTATTTTTGTGATAATGTACACAGTTAAAGAGAATGGAAAGAAAGTTATATTCATATTCTTATAAATAAGTATTGGTAGAATTTTAATAATGATTCATGTGTAACATCATTATCCAATTTATAGATAATTTCAATATCTTTTATACAAATACAAAATTATAGATATTTAAATAAGTTTTCAAGATCCTATTATTAAGGAAAAACCTACACAAATTTATGATTATATAGGGATAGAGACTCTTACAAAAACACTTACAATTATGTGAGAATAAAAATAATTATTTGAATAAGATTAAAAATAATATATCATTGAAATTAAAATTCAACCATAGATACTTATGAGACTATTGATATGATTATTGTCCATATTATTATTATTATCATTGTTACCATCACTATCATTATTGAAAATACCATATGAACTAATGATCATTAAGGTCAAAATAATATTTGCAAGTAGAGAATAATTCTCATCTTATAAGATGATTTTATAAGATTAAATTAGGTTTATAATTTAATTTTTTAATATGGTATTAGAGTCTATTTCAACAAATGTTTAATTTATTGAACCACTCACTATGGGAACGTTATCGGATCATTCATAAATGTCATATCCTGCAAACTTAACTCTTGAGACGTCCAGTTAATAATATGAAAGGTGAGTTTTGAAGATTTCATATTAACTAGTGATTAGGTCAAAATAATGTATATAAGTTGCAAAAAAATTGTGAATGAAAATGCTATAGATTATAAATTGATAATTAAATAGATAAATACGTAATAATGGGATGGAAAAAAATAGTAAGGTATCCGTGTAGGTATACATACTATAAAAAAATTAACAATACTTTAAACTATTTATAAAAAAAAATTGATTTAATTTATTTTTACTATAAATATATATATCATAATTATTTATGTTTACTATAAATATATGCTACAAAATCATTTTTTAATATAAATATATGTTTTGAAACTATTTATTTTTAATTTTATTTTATTTTTATCTTTTTATTTAAAATTTTACATTTTAACAAATATTCATGAATATTTGAAGATATATAAAAAATTCATAAATACTACTTAAATAAATACTCTCTCTAAACAAAACAAGAAATGAAAAATTATTATAATAATATTTAATAATATCCTTACTAATTCTTTTATTTGAAAGATCACAATAACAATACATAATTTAAATTCAAGACCCACACACCACTTAAGTAAACCATAGTGGTGGATGTCCTAATTAACATTTTTTAATTTTTTTAATGGCATAAATGATAGTCAACATCTTCTATTGTGAGTTATGACATCCACAATAAACAAGACATCATTACATCGATATCACGAGTTAGTGATTCACATGATACTAATTACAAGATTTACCAAAAAAATATATAGATTTCTTCAAAAAGAAGAATAAAGATATCATGATTTCGATTCCCATTCCTTTTTCTCATAGGTATAACAAGACATCTTACTATTGTAATAACAATAATAATTTAAAAAAAAAAACCACATACAAAATTCAAAGCACGTGCACTATATGAGTAACCGGATGAAATTCTTGACACGTATAATAGTTATCGAGAGAATTAATATATAATTTGGTATATATCCAAAAGATTTTAATTAACTTGCGTAAGATTAGTCATTTAATAAAGAATTAAACTACTTAATAACACATTTGTCAAATTTAGAATTTAAAAATTATAAGGCTGTTCCGGGTCGGGTGGTTGACTTGGTTGATGGTTACCTAACAACACCCTCTAAACCTGAAAACACGTCGCATGGATGGATGTAGGTCAATTTTTTTATTTATTATTTATTTATTTTTATATAAAACTCGAATTGAAGATAAAATTTGTTAAAAATCATAAAATTATATAAGTTTTTCTTTTACTTTTTAATATATTTTTATTTTATTTTATAGTATTGAATAAATTTTGATAAAAAAGAATGTTAAAAAAATGTGACACTGACTATATAATATGAAGCACTGGACCAGGTTCATGGTTCTTGCCACGTTAGAAATATATAAATTTTGATGGGGTGAAATAATTGTAATGTTTCGTATGAAAGAATGTTAACTAGACTAAGAAAGGTAGTCTCTTGCAACTTGCAAGTTTTCCAAACTGCATATATAAATGGTAGATTAAAATAAACGCAAGAGAATCAGAGAGATCTTAATTGGTCGGTTATGTAACACATTCATTTAGCGTCGCAATTTTATTAAACAGATTACACCGAACTATTTCTTAATTTTTTTTTTCGTCCCTGGAGTATCCACTACCGACAGCAATGATTAATCTCCTCGCTACGTTGGAGTCACCTCAAAGAGAAACAACTTACCAAAAACAAAATGATATATATTAAGGAACCAAGGAAGACCCACTTTTTAAGTTATTTTTTGCGAATTATTGTTCCAAATGATATTGGTTTATAAACATTGTTTTGGGCTTTTTGGGCTCGTTAAACTTAGTTATCAAATACTAAAGAGACTAATGATATATACACTTTTTTTTTAAATCTAAAATATTCAGTTTTTTTTTTAAATTTTTTAATTTTACATCTCTAACTTTTAATTTACTATTTTTTCTTTTCACACACTTCCTTCCTTTTTTCTTTTTTTAGTTTTCATATGTACCATCTTGTCTTCCTCCAATTCCTTATCTATTTAAGTGGGTAGTTTTAGTTCTCTCGATTTTTATATTACTCTCTTATTTTTTCACTTCTTTCACTTTTTCACATGTACCTAAATCATATAACTGGTAGGCGACAATTTTGTAGGTACGTGCAGCTTCCTCGACATTTTTTATCAAACTAGACATACATTTTTTATTCCACTTCCTTTCCTTTCACTCCTCTAAAAACATTGACATTAAGTTTAGTGTTATGAAAAAGACATTTTCACTATTCTGAAGTACTATGCGAATAGTGAAATCAGTGAGAAAACTAAAAGAGGAAGGGAAAATAATAATATAAAATTAAAAAATTAAAATTACTTACCAAAATAAGTGAAGGTAGAAGAAAATTATGGGAGTGCATGTGAAAATAAAGGGAAAAGATATATATAAAAAGTGTTAAATTAAATGGTAGGAGTGTAAAATTTAAAAAATTAAAAAAAAAAATTAAAAATATTTTAAGAATTTAATTATTTTTTTTTTTTTAAAAAGGAGTGTACTTATTAAAAAAAAATAAAAAAGGCGGTGTATATATCATGATACTACTAAAGATGCATCATGCTTTGGGCCGTTCAGTCCAAACCATGGGATAGATACTATTTACACTCCTGTATTTTCAATTCGCACCGTCCATTTGTTTATTAGTAATTGTTTTGACAAAAATGCCCTCTTATATAAAATAGTTTTGGCAACATATATATTATTGAAGCTAGTTTCATTTTTATTTATTTTTTTATCCATGTTTATAATATATATATGTATGTATCATATGCAATGCGAAAAATAAAATATTATTTAGCAAAAATTTCTTAAAAAGGTAAAAAAAAAAAAAAACTAATTTATCCCCAACAAATCTGGTAGAAAACGAAATAATGTGATTGGACATTATGACAAGTATGACCGGTGCAAAAGTGGAAATGAGGCACGCGTTGGCGCATCCAATGAGGAACGCGATGGCGTATCAGGACCAATAAAACCTCTCCACGTGGCAAATCCACGTTGCATAACTTGGCGCTCACTTCACACTTCTCTTCACCATTTCCATTATTTGATCCACGTCGCTTCTCCCCTCTCCGTTTCGTAGGATCCTCTCTTTCCGGTTCAATTAAACAAAAAAACCGAACCGGCGGATCTCGGTGTTGCTATGGAGGCTCACGGTGGCGGGCTCCGCCGCGTCCTGGTGCTTGCCTTCTGCGTCGCCGGAATCTGGTCGGCATACATCTACCAAGGCGTTCTTCAGGAAAATGTGTAAGAATCCGAATCCGAATCCAAATATTCTCGTGAATTTCGAAATGCCGCTGCTAATTGCTCTCTCTTTGTTTCCTTTTCTGGATTTTGTTTCAGGTCGACGAAGCGATTCGGTCCGCGACAGGAAAGGTTCGAGCACCTTGCGTTTCTCAACTTGGCGCAGAATGTCGTGTGTTTAATCTGGTCCTTCATAAGTGAGATTCTATCGCCAATTACTCTATCTCATACTTTGCATCATGTTCAAATATTAGCTAACTTGATTTTAAGTTAACGTTCACATGTTTGTTATTGATTCTTTTGAATAAACAGCGTTTGAACATAAGTTACTAAACTGCAAAGTCAATTTTAACCGAAATTAATTTTGTAATCATACAGTATACCTTGTGTAGTTTAATTTTATTTATGTTTGTTTTGGTTGTTTATGTGTACACTACAGTGATAAAGATGTGGTCCGGTGGCAATAGTGGTGGTGCTCCGTGGTGGACTTATTGGAGTGCTGGAATTACCAACACCATCGGTCCTGCTATGGGAATTGAAGCTTTGAAGTATATTAGTTACCCTGCTCAGGTATCATTTCTTCAACACTTTCTTTTTCTGCTTCCTTTTTTTCTTCTTTCAGCAGATTATACTGCCACCCTGAGATTTATTGAGATTGCACACGACCCCCTTCATTTTAAAGTATGAAGTACGGACTCATTTATATAACACCGCGTCAGCATGTCTATCCAAGAGAGTGAACCAACACCTTTTAGCCAAACAGTTATTTAACACTTCTATTATAAAAAATAATAATAAAAAGTCAACTTATTTATCAATATTGCAAGACTTTTAACATCTTCTAAGGGTCATTATCACATAAAAATTATAAAGCTTATATCTATATATATGCTGTGTTCTCATGTTGTATATTTTGGACATTATCTGTGTTCCGATATCCTTGTTGGAATTGGTGTTTCATATATTTTTATCATTTATGACAACTCCCTCAAGATACAGTGTAATTTGTTTCTTGGATAAGTGGGAATGTAAGTCTAATGTATAAAGGGTGTCAGAGTAATGCATTTCAAATTCAAACAATTAAGGTGGTTAGTGAATGTTTGGAATCTCATTCATCTGAATCCGTGTGGCTCCTTCCACATCAATGAAGAAGCTATATAAAGAAGCTTCAAGTTTTCATATTTCTTACACACGTTCTAGCCTGTAAAACGCAGAACCAAACAGGTACTTAGTGTAATTTGACAATAACTGGTGGAATATCAGTGTAATTTACTTCTTTTTTTTTAAATTGTATTGAATTTAATTAATCTGAATGGGATTTATGATTTACCTGAAATGGTGTTGCGTGGTTTGGAAAGAAATCCCTCTTTTTGTGCAAACCAATGAAATGTCAAAACTATTTTACAGGATTAAAATAAAAAGGGATAAAAAGGATGGTAAATAGCTGCGTGCTAACCATATATCATGCATCCAAGTTGAAATAAGTTTGTTATTTCTACTGCAAAGCTTTCTTTATGGGCTTGTTCAGTGTCTTCCTCATGAGGCTATAATCTTTTTAATGGATGGTGTCATTTTTGCTAATTGCAGGTGCTGGCAAAGTCCTCCAAGATGATTCCAGGTCAGTACATTGAGCTTGTGGTGCAAGAAATGCTTGCAGTTTTAATTAGAAGCAATGGAAAAATGCTGAGCTTTTATTTTGTTTAATCAGTAGAGTTATGATTAAATTATAAAGTTATATTCTGTGCTCAAACACTTCAATATTTGTTTTTTTTTTTTTTGTCACCTTTGGGTTAATGGGGATTGAGGATAACTTGTGTTTGAATTTCACTTTATTAAGTTTAATAAGCCAACGAAAATGAATCTTTAAGGTTGTGGTTGTGTTTTCTTTGAGACTTTTGTAGATCTTGTACTCGTGCTTGAATGTTATACTGCTTTTGACCGAACAATGCATCTTGATTTGTATCTTAAGTTTTTACTTGTTATGCACCCTTCCTTTCCTTTTTGCATGTGGATAGGCTGAAATAATTTCATTTATTTTTGTTTACAATCTTTTGAGCATGTTAAATTTAGGACCTTCTGGGGTTCTGATATAACATTTGAAAGAAAATGATGATAGAAAAATCTTATAATGATTTTTTGCTGAATTTAAAAAAATTAAATTTATCCTCAGATTAGGTAAGGTACTCTTAAGTTCTTAAAATGTCTAACGACTGATTTACTTTACCCTAATGCAGTTATGTTGATGGGTACTCTGGTATATGGTATAAGATATACTCTTCCAGAATACCTTTGTACTTTCCTTGTTGCTGGAGGGGTATCGACATTTGCACTTTTAAAGGTACGAATTTCTCACAATAGCAGAGCTCACCCTTCTTATCTAGGAATTTTCAGTCTATGAATGCAGCTTAGCTTTATTTGTTTATACTGATTACAGACTAGCTCAAAGACTATCAGCAAGCTGGCACATCCAAATGCTCCCCTTGGATATGGGTTGTGTTTCCTGAACCTTGCTTTTGATGGATTTACCAATGCAACTCAGGATTCTTTAAAAGCGAGGTAACATTAGAAGGTTCTCTCTCGTTTTTGCGTACAACGTTTCCTGTCTGTATGATGTCATGTAAAATACCAAATTTACACATGCACTTCCTTCATTTCCTATACGTAATTCTCCCCCCTTCTACTCCCTCTGTACCCTCCTTTTTTCTTGTTTTGAGCCAAATCACTTCTCCAAGGTTTGTAGCACGACATATATGAAACAAGCTTAATACAGAGCATGTAATGAGAACAATTTCTAAATGGACAGTTCTTCGAATTGTTTCTGTTTTTTTAAGTAAATTTTTTTATTAACAGTAGATAGATCTAAACCTGCGCACAAGCGGTACCCAAGGCTAGACATATAGAGTCATTACAAGAGGCCAACAAAAAACGCCAAATGCCAGATATCCCATACAATAGGCACACCAGAATACCGTTTGATCCTTAGAACTGTTTTTCCTTGTCTTTAATCAAACTATGAAGTATGAAATGCGGTTATTATTGTCTCTGGTGGCTAATTTAATAGTTAAGTAAACAAAACTAAATATGATATTTCATGTTTCCCTTTCCCTTGTAATGTTGCGTGTCGGCAAAACTCCTTGTATGTTGATAACATGCAATAACATGTCAAATATTT